ATGAGGGATTGCAAGAGCAGGTTGAGAATCAGTGATGTCACAGTGCCTCAATATTTCATGCTTAGCCCTTGGATAATTTTTATTAATTATTTTATTTAGTTATGCATCTTCCACAGTTTTGAATGTTAACTCCCCTCACCCCCAAAATACAGCAATAGAGTTACAGAGACAGAGATGCTTTCACTGCAGATGTTCTCCTTATGAGTGTTCAGGAGGTCTTATGACCATTTTGGCATTGAAAGGAAAACCAGCTTTTTCATCCCAGTGCATCTGCCAGCAAAAGCAAACCTGTCTGATTAGCATCTGCAATAATTAGGAAGTAGTTCCTGGCTAGCCAGTTTGGCACCCATCTGCAAGAAAGGTTGGAAGGAGGATTCCAGCAGCCTGTCAGCCTGACCTCAGTGCTTAAGGAAGGTTATGGAACAGATTATCTTGAGTGTGATCACATAGCACGTGCAGGGGATCAGGCCCAGTCAGCAGAGATTTAGGAAAGGCAGGTCCAGCTTGACCAACCTGCTTTCCTTCTATGACAAGGTGATTCACCCAGTGGATGAGGGAAAGGCTGGGGGTGTTGTCTACCTAGAATTCAGTAAAGCCTCTTGTGGTGTTTGTGAGGGTCCCCAGGATGAGGTGAGAGATGAGAATTTGACTCCATGTTCTCAGAAGGCTGATTTATTATTTTATGATATTATATTAAAAGAATGCTATACTAAAACTATACTAAAGAAAGAGAAAGGATCCATCAGAATGATAAAGAAAAACCTGTGACTCCTCAGAGCCTCGACACAGCTGGACCATGATTAGTCATTAAATTAAAACAATTCACATGCTAGATAAACAATCCCCAAATCACATTCCAAAGCAGCAAAACTGGGAGAAGCTGAAGCTTCCCAGCTTCCCAGGAGAAGAAATCCTGGCGAAGGGATTTTTCAGAAAATATCATAGTGACAGCCTCTGTCACTGTCTCCCACAGAATTCTGCTGGAAAAGCTGGGAGACCGCAGCTTGGACAGGTGAACTCTTTGCAACTGTCAGGAGTGGTAGTGGAGGGAGTCACCTCCAGTGTACAGGGAACAGTCTGTTTAATATCTTTATTGATGATCTGGACAAGGGGATCAAATTCTCCCTCAGTCAGTTTGCAGAGGACACCAAGCTGGATGGGAGTCTTGATCTGCTGTAGGGTAGGAAGGCTCTGCAGAGGGGTCTGGATAGCAGGGATCCATGGGCAGTAGCCAGTGGTATGAGGTTCAAAAAGACCAAGTGCCAGGTCCTGCCCTTGGGTCACAAGCACCTGCAGTGCTACAGGCTGGGGACAAGTGGCTGGAAAAGTTGCCAGCACAAAAGGACCTCAGAGTGCTGGTCAGCAGCCAGCTGAACAGGAGCCAGCAGTGAGCCCAGGTGGCCAAGAGGACTAGTGGCATCCTGGCTTGTTGCTTAGTGCATCAGCAGTAGCCAGCAGGACCAAAGCAGTGATTGCCCTCCTGCATCAGCACTGGGGAGGCCACAGCCCAAGTGTGCTCAGTTCTGGGTCCCACATTACAAGAAGGACATTGAAGTGATGGAGGGAGTCCAGAGAAGGGCAGTGGAACTGGGGAAGGGTCTGGAGCACAAATCCTGTGAGGAGCAGCTGAAGGGCCTGGGGTGTTTTAGCCTGGAGAGAAGGAGGCTCAGGGGAGACCTGGTCCCTCTCTACAACTGCCTGAAAGGAGAGTGTGTAACCAGGTGGGCATCAGTCTGTTCTCCCAGGCAAAGGATGAGAGGAAACAACCTCAGGTTGGGCCAGAGGAGGTTGAGATTGGATGTGAGGAGAAATTCCCTCACTGAAAGAGTGGTTAAGCATTAGAATGGGTGCCCTGCCACCAGGGAGGTGGTGGAGTCACCATCCCTGGAAGCATTCAAAAATGGTTCAATGTGGCACTTCACAGTATGGTTCAGTGGGCAGGGTGGTGTTAGATCTAAGGTTGGACTTGATGATCATGCAGGTCTTTTCCAACCTTAATGATTCTGTCATTTATGTAAACACACAGCTACTCTCTGAAAAGCACAAGTCCTGTTTTGCTCATCTTCCTGTCCTCTCCCTCCTATACAGTCAGAGCAGCTGTTACACTCCCTGGGCTGTGGACTAAAGCCCACCTCTGGGGTCAAGGCAGTTTATGCAGAGCTTGGACTCAGGACTAGGAAAGAGCATAGGAAAGGGATAACATTTAACAGCCACATTAGAAAAGCCACTGAATTACAGCTCTCATGTTACCCTTGTGCTGTGCTAAATGACACAAAATTCTGTCCTGCAGTGGAGTCTGTGAGAAGAACAGCATTGATTGAATTAGGGGAAAATGGGGCATCTTTGATTTTTCTGAGCCTCCTCCTGGTGGAGGAGGATGCTTTTACTTGTTACTTCCCCTTGGCTAATTTGTCTCCCTTTGACATTTTAAGGCAAGACTCAGTTGTTTTATTACGACAATGGTCAGTTAATGTTATGCTAAAGTACTACATCAAGCTGTGAAAGAGGCAAAAGCAAGGTGTAGAGTATGTATAGGTGGCTTGCAATTGCTTCCAGGAAATTTTAAGAAACCCAACAACTTTGTATAGACATTTTTTATAACTACAGATAAGTTTTTCCAAAGATTATGCTGCTAATAAGCCAATTTTTAAGAACAGCAAATGGCAGAGGATGGATTCATGTGGTTCAGAGAATATGACATTGAACTATTTTAGGCCAAGTGTCATTAGGCTGAGCTAAGGGGAATATGGAAAAAACATAGAAGTTTTACAGTATATTTGTTATATTATTAAGCATACAGACATACACATTCCTGTATCTGCCTGGTCATGCATGAGTGCAGATTGGATTGCTAGAGCAGGGTGTCATAATTCACTACTCTTGCATATTGTTATTTTACAATTATCAGCTGTTAATTTGATTAATTTCAGGGCACCTTCTCTGTAAAAGAAAATTATATGCAAAAGAACCTCTGAGCAAGTCTCATAATCTAGTATAGTATGCTGCTGTCTAAACACTATCATATTTAGAGGTTAACTGTACCTCTCTAATGCTTAAACTAAGGAACTGAAAACACTCAGTCTCAGCCCAAAGACCGATTCCCCACACATAACTTCTAAACACAGTCACTGCTATGCTGAGAGGAACTACCTGGCTAGGCACAGGCATATTTTAACTTTAATTACTTAAATCCCTGTTGAAAATGAGATTAAAATCTTGTCACACACAGCTGTCTCCATTCTACCTTAGCGGTAAATTTCACCTCATCAGAAAGGTTTCCTATCTAATTTTGCAGAATTATTGGCTTTCTAAACATAAACCACATCCATCATGTTGTAGACAACTTAGTGGGTTTACTAAAGTACTAAAATACAAAAGCTTATGGTTTTAGCTTTTATGGTATAAAAACTAGACACATGACCTATATTTCAAAGTGGAAAAAAGGGACTTAAAATGATAAATAGACATTTCACCTGGCATGGATAGAGTAGTAGGCAGAAGATGCTTCTCTACTGGACACAGTTAAGAGATAATTTATTTTGCTCAACTTGCATGGCAGAGGAAAAGCTGCCTAGTCTGCCAAAAATAAAGCTGGTATAAAATTCCCTTAAGTCCTCAGAGGATGGCAGGGAGCCAACAGCTCCTGTGGCTGTTACAGGAGACCGTCAGTTCCATTGGCTGGGGGACATGCAGTATCACAAATCCATGGGAAAGGCTCTCCCCAGATGACCTGAGAGACCAAGAGGGGATTACTGCCCCTGGGGTAACAGGACTATCTCTAACACAAGCAAAGAGGGCCTTGGACCTGCCTTTTCCAACTCCATTTGAAACTGTCTTCATGGGTGAGGGACTCTATTCCCAGGGCACATGGAGGCCCAGGTGCCAGCAGCTGCAGTGGCCCATGGAGCTGCAGTGTGAGCAGAACATGGCTTGAATATGGATGTCTGTGTCATCACTTGCAAATACCAAAATGGAATTGCTGTAAAATAGGATGAGAGTATTGGAAGGCAGGTGTGAAAGCAGCTAACAGTCTGGCCAGGCTACTGGAGGGGCCAGTGAGTCCCAGCTGCTGGAAAAGTGTAAGATGTAGACCCTAAAGAACGAGAATTAGCAAAACAACACGCAGACCCCTGGCACTCCATAACATGGAGCTCAGGACTACAGGAGCAGGTCCTGTTAAGCGGCAAAATTTCATCTCCCCTAGCATATTGATAAGTGTTATGATATATTCAAATAGAGAAGACCAGCCCTGATCCGTTAGCTTTAAGTGATGGAGTGTGTAGATAAAGGCAGCACAGAGGTGGTATAGAGTTTTGTTACCATGCAACTGTAAGCCATGCTCTTAAAACACTTCCCTTATTTTGTTATTATGTAAGTTTTATTGCTCTTGCTTGTTCCAAAGGTCATTTGCTGTTATCATTTCACCTGAGTGGGCACTTCTAATATTAACTAAAGACATAACAGGAGTTAAATGGGTAGTTAACAGGCAGATAAAGCATTATGTTACAGTGCACATCCAAGTTCCTGCCACTTGGAACACAGACAACATTTTAAATCTGATCACTGCCAGAGCTTTGCTCCCATTATCTACAAAGAAGTACAAAAGAATTTAAAGCACGTATGACCTGCTGTCTTCAAGTAACAGTGATGCTAGAGAGATCATGCAGAGAGCTTGGTTTCAATTGCTGTTCCTTGACAAGTCTTCTTTCCTTCACGATATAAAATTGAAATACAGTATAAAAATACATCTTTTCAAAGGGTCCAATAGTTCCAAGTCAAATTTATATATTATAAGGCTATAATAATTAAGATTGAGGTACATTAAGAGTGCAACTTCTGCTGGAGTTTCTTCAGGATACCACATTCAGTACAAGAGAGAGACTAATATTTTCCTGTTGCTTCCCTAGAGAGGCTGCACTTTAGGTTAGAACAATTTTGCTTTATGTCTCCCATTGTACATGTAATCCAGAGTGTTATTACTGATACCCTGATTCCTTTGACTGCAGGAGAGTGAGTGGGATTTCCATGATTCCATGATTTACAGACAGTCCTTGAATACAGCTTTTACAGTTGAGAATGAGCTTCAGCTTCCTTTTCATTGCCGTCTTGATCCTTCTTGTCTTCTTCCTTTTCTTCTTTGCTGAACTGGGCTTCAATCTCATTTGGATCAATATAGGTATAAAAAGAAGCCATGATAGCAAAAATGATGCAAACTACCAACAGCAGGGCAGCAAACAGCACATACTCTGCCCACTGCAAAGAAAAAAAAATAATGCAGAATTTATCCACCAATATTCATTTGTCAAGAGTATTACACCCTTTTAGTATTTTCAGGAAGGAAACTCAGAATGTGAAACTGAGCACACATAACAAGTATCATATGGCTTACAGGACTAAGTATGAATTAAACATATAATGCATATTAAAGCAACTCAGAATTGAGGCTCTTTCAGCATTTCTATCTTTACTGAAAAAAACAAAAATTCTGTAAATGCTGAAAAACTCTGCAACATCCTTTTCCTGGAGGAACTGGGAATTGAGTGAAAGACTGAGAAGGAAACTCAGCTCCTTCCTTTTGGTCAGATTTCTAAACCAGGCTGGCAATGCTTCTGCTTACAGCTGATCTAGTAACACACATGTGGGCAGAGATCAGAAAAGCCACTATCTGAAAAGCCTCAATGTCTCTGTTTCATGCTCTTTCTGATTTAATTTATCTTAAACTGGGAATTGCCAGAGCTGTTTCAGAGACAAGCTTTTCCCTCTCTCAGATAGCCATTTGAATTCATTACAGAGCACCACAAATAAATAGAAAATCTTGTACAACTGCTCTTCACCAGGACAGACATGGTTTTTATGCCCCAAATAACGAGATTTTAAACCAATGAAGCCAGAAGAAGGGATGTGGCAAGGCTCTGGTATGCAGGTGAAGGCACATTAGCAATTAACAGAACTTTGGTAGGTTTTTTTCCATTCATGCAAAACTTCAGCTCAAAAGTTCACAGACTTTCTATACCATGAGAAAAAATTTACTGCAGAGATGTTAGAAACTGCTCCTTGTAAGCAAAGGGGCCTGGCAACAAGAATTAAGGATGGCAAGTAATAGGCAAGTAGAAACCTTTGCAGAAAAACAATTTGTTTTATCTGCCATAATTTCCCACTGGATTAGAACTGCTTTTACCCAGTGCAATATCACAGCACACCTACTGCTTGCATGCTTACCTGCTGTTTGATTGCAGATACCCCAGCCACAATAAGGACAATTATGTTACCAACAGCCACAGTCAGCAGCCATCCAGCCTGCAGCACTGACTTCATGTTAGATGGGGCCTGTAGGGACAGACATTTCAGTTTTGGTGGTATCATTTATTTTCTGATGCATTTATTGCAGCCTTGACCTTACAAAAAACACTGTTTCTCTGTGGGGAAGAGGATTTCATGGTTTGCTAGGTTTTGGTGGTGGTTGGGGCTTTCTTTAAATTTAGATTTTGAGCTAAACAGGTGCAGAGAAGGCTTTGAGGAGCAAGAGACCACTAGCACACTAACTGTAACACCTTTTACTTACACACACCAAGTAACTAACAGGTGCACAGGGGTAATTTTACATCTCAGGAACACGTGGCACACATGACATGAAGAAATTGAGTGCATCACCTAGCAAATCACACCTTACAACATGTCCATCACTGCAGTTTCTAGATTCAGAATGAAGGGAAGAAATACACACAGCTACTAAAGTGGACTCAAGAGACAAAGGAATTCAAAGTGTTTAATTATAACACTTATAAAAGTTAACAAAAAGGCTTTATGGAGTAAACTGGTGGGGAGATGAAGTTCCACTACTTCCTCATTTTATTTTTGAGAGCTCTCCAGTTTGGTTTTATTGCAGCAGTACAGTTGCACTTAGTTTCAATAGAAATTTACATGGGAGGAGGCAATTTGAGTACTGTCAAGTCTTCAAATGATATAACTCAGCATAGGTTCATGGAAAACACCAAATCCTTGGCTAAACAGGGCCAACTTGCATCAGTCTACACAGTCCTTCTAGGAGCTGTGAGGGACATAGGGGTCAAAGCAGCAGCACAGAGCCACCACTTAAAAACAATACAATGTGGAAGATCTTAACTTGCACCAAGATTCTTACCTCAGGAAGAGGAATACCTACCTGTGAGTATGAAAACTCCAGCCCAGTGACAGAGAAGAGAACTTCTGCACATGTAAGAAGAAAATACTGAGGGATCTGCCAAGCCATATGGACTGCATTTGGTGCAATATCTTCAAAGTGTGTAATGAAAAGGTTTTTTTCAACACACTAAAATTAAAAATAGCATGTTAGGAACAGTAATAATGAGTGTGCACAGTTAAGGCATTCTAAGCCATTCTATAATCATATAGAAAGTTCAGAGTAAATAACAAATATTGCACATGAAGCACTGCATACCTAGTTATAAAAAATAGCTTTTTTACAGCAGACTCCATGCAAATCTGTAGTGTCTAACAGGGCTAAAGGTTTAAGGCCATTAGTGGTGATCATGAATTCTTGCATTATGTTATTATTGTAACCATCATTATTTTCATAGTTAACAATGGCTTTGTGTCCTGTTTAGGATACCAGAATTCTATCATCTATACTTAAAAACAAGAGGAAATTAAAGGATTAAAGACAAGAGGAATAATTCTACAAGTGTTTTTTTAATTAAAGTATCAACATGGAAAGGAATTCTATATTGTCCATGCAACAAGTGGTAACTCACATCATCAAGTGAAATGGTATAGGCAGCACCATATCCAAATTGCTTTGAATCAACTGTGCAAGTGTCCTGAGGCATTGTAGCCTTAATGGTATATGACCTGAAAAAGAAAAAACCCAAACCCCACAGTTCAGACTATAAGTGCTGTCAATTGTGTGCAGCACATAATTTAAAAAAGCTCTTTGCCCTTTTCCCAAGGAAAAGTATGTGTAGGAGATTAAATTAGGATAAAGAAAATGCTTACCAGCCTGCATGTGGAATGACGCTGTAATTACTGACAGAAAAAGGTTCCAGTACGCCAAAATTCATGTCACCCATAGTAACATTGACAGGAAAACTGAAATTGTTTATGAACCTTTAAAATGGAAGAGTGATCAAAAGTGTGATTAAATACTACACAAAACATACAGAAGTCAAAGAATACAGGTTTTACTTTCAATTATATATTGGCAGCACAACAAGTATCGAGTCTTCCCATTGAAAGCCTTTTTTTTTAAAAATCAATTAACATTTTGGAAAAAACTCTAATCTCCTAGACATGTAGCTAATGCAAAAAGCCAGTTAGATCCCCATCAGCCCACTGCCTCAGGAGAACATCAAAAGTGAGTCACTACTACAACCAGTAGGAAATGCATCTGCAAGTGGGAGATGCAGAAGAAAAGCAGAGAGGGGAGAGGTGATCTTGGATACCTCTTATGCAGGATTAAAAATGTGGTATAGATATGTAATCCATGCCATTTGTTCAATAAAAAAAAAAAATCTAGGCAATGGAATGAAGCATACACTTCCAATTTTAGCTAAACTATACCCAAGCAGGTGTGCAAAATAACTTAAGTGAATCATGACTCAGACATTATCCCATCCCCTAAAACGTCAAGGGAAGTGTCCAGCAAGATGTGAGTTCCTGAAGTATAGAAAACTTTATTTCAACAAGAAAAGGCTCCCCAAAGACAGATTGAAGAGAGAGTCACACTACTGTCAAAATTTAGACAACAAAAAAAGCTGTACCTGACAAGGCTTTTTCCATCTTCTGGTTTTGATGTGACATTGTCCTCTACCTAGTGGAAGAGACCATTATCAAAATATGTTCCTGGCATCAGAGAACAGCTTAAACATGCACTATTACACAGCAGGGGACTTAACAGAGGCTTCAGAGCAAGACTCCAGACCTTCCTCTTCAGGTTCCTACTAGAACACACATCTACTAGCAAACACTGTATGACCACACACCTAAGTCTTGGTGAAAGTGTAGTTGTCAAGGTACATAAGAAATTGGTAATTCTTTTTCTAAAGGACATCCTGGTGTACTCTCTGCAGCTTACCACTCTTACTGGTCCAGTAGAGACAGAAAACAAGACAGTGGAAAAAATTTATCCAGAGCTTGTCCTCTGAGCCTCACACACTCCACATAGATCGTTGTCAGAACATTGATTCATATCTTAAGAAACAAGCAGACTTACCCAAGTAAAATTGATGCCCGTTGGAACCCATTTAAATGCCAAAGTGTAGCGTTGTTCCTCTTGCAGCTCCAAGTGCTCAGTTTTACTTTCATTTGCAGATGTTACGTTTAGTGATAGCAGTTTAGAAGTCTCAAATGTCATGTAGCCAGTCTACAAAGACAAATTGCAATGGATTTCTGTGCATCTGCATATTTGTCTATTGAGGGAATGTTATGGACTCTGGGAGGGTCAGAAGTTTACACATGTTACTTCTGAAGTGCCAGAGATCATGAACATCCCCTCATTTTCATTTTTGATTTGTTTTCTACATCAAGCATTAATTCCATTTGATCATGATTTTTTATTAGTTTAATTTGTTACACAAGCTTCACAGTTACATAAGCTTCCCACAAGCATTATGGAATAGCTGCTCTATTTTCCTATTTCTTGCTCCAGATAAATCAGGCTTACCATAACCACTGAGTAAAATTTTATTCAGCCACAGAGGTAGGACTAGCATAAGATGTGATGCAGTATTTTCCAAAAAAAGCAGTAATGCCACGTTTTAAATATTCAAAACACATTTATTCAACATAAAATACTTAAACCATTAATAAACATGTTAGTGCTACACTAAAATAGGCTCTTTGTTTTATGGGATTATCAAAAGCACTTTATAATCCACATCTGGATGATAAAGTGTCTGTAATAGGAAATAGAGCACTCTATACCTTTAGTTTTCATGTGTGTACCGTGGTACATCAATTCCCTGTCTGTATATAGTGTGGGTGCCCTTATCCTCTCCTCACAACTCTGCTCCTGTGTGAGGCAAATTTGGAGGAGGTTGGACTAAGATCTCTCCTCTTCGAGAGAAACAGAGCTGCAGGCTATCAGAGAACACACTTTCTAAGTTTCATTATCCAAAACATCCATCAGAGCCACCACATTTTGCTGTCAATAGAACTACCAATGCTGTGCTGTATTAGAACCTGAATAGTTCTTTGGCAGCAAAACAGGAAGCCTAATTTGTGATGTGGCCACAGAAGAAGATCCCTGTTCAGGTAAGTCATTCCTCACAGTGATAGCAGCAATGCACTAGAGCTGAATGGACATTTACTGCAGGAAGGGGCTACTTTTAGGAAATGGAGCCTTTTTAACAAGAGTGAAATTCTCATCTAGTTCCAAGTTACTTGAGTTTATTGTCAGAACTAAGTAGTAATACTTCAAATATTAACATAGTTACTATTTGTTCAATCGCTGTGTTTTCTTTAACAGTTCATTCCACGATAAAAAAAAAAAAAAAGAAAACATTAAAATTTTTAGAGTAAACATGTCCTAGAAAATAATCAATTTTGAACCATCCATTAGAAATTACTCTTACTCCATTCATTTTTTTTTTAGCCTAATTAATTTTAATTATTTTTTAATATTCCACACCTGCCCTTACTTACTTCCTTATTAGGTTCTACCTCCACACTCTGAAGTTGAGGCTGGAACTGAACTGTTGCAGGAACAGCACCCAGATTTATTAATTTAATTTGAGTTTGCCCAGCTGCAGGGAAAACTGGATTGTGGTTCTATAGGACAGAAAAAAGAGTAAAATCAGTGCTCAAGGTCACTTGGAAAAATTACTATAAATACTGTAATCTTTATTATTTCATGTTGAAGATGAGCATTTGCCTATTGCTCTGTGACTGTCTGACAGAGGAGACTGGAATCAGGTTTTGTTACTAGTCTCATAAATTGCCTAAGGAAAGAATTCCCTCATCCTCAACAGACGCCTCTAGACGGCTGCTCAGATCTTGGGATGCAGTGGATCACCATCCAGAGGTGTTGCCAACATCCCAGTTACAGGGGAAAATTCATTGGGCTCAGGCATGGCAGCTCCCTTTGGGGCAAGGAAGCTTAGGGGAGACAAATCCTTCCTTCCACAAGTGTCATCTTTGCACCTGCTGTGATGATGCTTCCCAGACTGTCACACTTCACCTCCAGTCTAAATCTCAGAAGAGGTCAAACATGAAAAGCTGCCCTCTGGTGGGCCAACCAAGTGTCTGGTTTCCAGCTTTTAGTCTCAGTTTAAAGAGTGAGGTTGCCTTTAATGCATGATTTGTACTAACTGCAATGTAGTGTTTTGCAGAATGGTGTTTGTTGCTTGTTAATTTTACTATGCTAACAACAGTATTGCAATCTATTTCCCCTCCCTCTACTCCTATGCTTATATGATTGGCTCCAAATTTAGGAGTCTTGGTACATTTTCCCCTTAAACACACCTTTGTTTCCCCTGAATTAACAGCTAAATATTAATAGTAAATACTTGCATGTGGCTGAACTTACATCTATTTGCACTTGCACGAGGGCAGCAGCAACAAAAGCCATGGAGCCGAGGAACATCCCCACAGTCATCTTCTTCAGGGGCCTGGCACAACAAAAGACACAAGAGATTCAAGACAAGTGACAATTCAAAGCTTCAGCTGCTTGTTTTTTTCTTTCCACTCTGGGAAACTCAAATGGCCACAACTAGCACATTATCACATTTTGGAGGGCTGATGTTATTACAGAAAGTGTTCTGCTAAGCTGGGAACCTCTCAATTCATAGTCTCACTGTCAGGAAATACATCTTTCCTGCAGCAACCTAACAACCTGTTACTCTGCATCTGCTGGGCTCAAACATTGACTGACCATGATTTTTAGGTTCCTGAAAAAAATCTGGTTTTGCAGGAAGAAAAAACCCCAATCCAAAACCCCAAGAGGCAAGAAGATATGCCTTTAAAAACAGAGTAACAGCTTGTCTCCATATTGCTATGTTTAAATAAGATTGAACAAAAATGGTCAGGGAAATTTGTCGAATTAGGAGACCTCTGCTGACATGCAGTTAAGCTGTAAGGATAGATTTAGAGTATATGTGTCATTTGTGGCACCATTTATCCAGTTCAGAATAGGCACAAATGAATGACAGTGTTCCCAGCATAGCACACACCCTAGATTTTTAACAGATATATGGAAATACAGCAGAGCACTTTGGCTATTTGAAAATTATCTGAAGAACTGTATTCTCTTCTGCCTCTCCAAGCATTCTTGCAACTGCCAGACACTTCATTAACAACATTGAAAAATAAAGTGGAATACCCCCAAAGCTTCACCTAGAAGGATTCAGTAAGTCAGACTTCCCAGCTGAGACTGAAGAGGAAATATTTTGTGTCTCAGTTGCTTTTTAGCCAAAAGCATGGCAAATGCCAAGGATGTATGTTGTACTTCTACCACCTCTGTTCTTCAGGAGGGAGAAGGGGTAGATATAAAGGATATGGAAAGCAATCAAGATCATCTCTCCTGCAATCAAAAGATTTTTGTCCTCAACTGAAAAACATTGTCACTCTTCTCTTAGATTCTCCTCTTATAATCTGTGATGCCTCTACATACCACTTGCAGTATTCTGGTTTGTTTTATGTTTTGTTGAAATATGAAGCCATTTTAAATACACTTCTCTTTCATCCTTAGCTGAATGCTTGCTCTTTTCTTACATTAAGGCTGGAAGAGCCAGTTACAGAAACCAATAACATGAGCCTCTGTTGAAATCAGGTAATAACATCAACTTACGTAAAATTCAGCTTGCATTTCTTGATCAAAGGATAAATCAACGAATCTGTAACTGGGACCATTATAACAATCAGGATTGGATTCACAATCTGGGGAAGATGAACATCAGAAAAAAATTAAGTATTTTTCAAAGTGCATCTTGTAAGTAAGGGCAATATGTATACAATCTTTCAGAAGTACATGAAATTCGTAGATAGAAAATTAACATACCTGCATTTGGTCTGGTTGAATTTTAAAACCCTGGTGAAGAAAAAAGAAATAACTTTTAATATTGTGACAACGAATAAAACGGGTCTGAAAAGTGGTAATTAAAGAAAAAAAATGAATAAAAAGTAACCTACAAAATCCCCATCCATTGTTTCGGCTTGCAGTGTCCATCTTGACCCCTTAATAAGAGAAGAAAAAATTAGATGTCACAGTAAATCAATGTTCTCAAGTTCCTTTTGAATTGTTTTCATAAGTGAAGTGTTGGAAAAGACATGCAATACAAGAAAAAGTAAAGTTAGCTTGCTATGGGAGTATTCTTAGTATTCTTAGTTTCTGGCCCCCTGCCCCAGAAACTGCCTGTGGCTGGGACAGGCAGGGCAGACTTCAGGCCTGAGCCCAGGATGGGACAAGAACGCTACTGCTGCATCTGTGACAAGATCCTTCAGCCAGCCACAACACAGCACTGCCCGAGATATTACCCTGGGAATGAGGACTGAGCTCTGAGTTTCATAGCAGGAATTCAGAGCTCCAATTGCAACAGGTCACGCTGGCAGCTACAGCTCACAGGCACTGCACTGGAGCAGTAGGACATGGGGAGTGTGGAGCAAGCTTCCTCCCATCTGCCTTTGAGAAGGCTTTTAACCCCTGGTTCTCTCTCAAGCATCTTCCTAAATTCCTACTTCAGTGCTTCACTATAACTGATGCTTTTGTGGGTCTTGAGCACCCAGTTCACCAAGTGAATGGGACTTACAGGATCACACTTCCGCTTGAAGGTGTAAGGCATTTATAACAAGGTGTGAGTGGTTAAGCATCCCAATCATTTAAACCCTGGTTCTCCAGCTCATTTACACAAGGACCCTAAATTTCATCTGACAACTGACAATTGAAGAAACATTAGTGCTAAGAGAGCCTTAAAATACTGTTCCATCCCCTGAGTCCCAGGCTGATACAAGATTTGGAGAGGTCTCAGTCAATCTGAATCTGTCCTGGGTGTACTCAGATAAACCAAGATTGCCCCTGGCTGCAGATCATCCTGTACTGACATGACTCAGTGACTACCCTTTGCAATGAAACCAGGATAAAGAATTTGTTTTTCCATGCTCCCATAGAGACTGACATGGCACAGCTCTAGTTACCAAGCCAAACCATTTCTACTTACCTGTTGGTCAAAAACTGCCCAGAACATTGGGAGAGGGATGTAAAGGAAAAGCACCCTCAACACCATCTTTATCTGAGCAATCAGTTGTTTCTGCAGAAAATAAAAATCACACAAGTGGAATTGGTTCAAAAAGAAAGGGGATAAAAAAACGAGACAGTTTCAGACTGCTACTGACATGACAGCAACAGGTAAAGACCCATCATGTAATGTTTACCCACACATTCAACTTTGCATGTTGTGGCTACATCTGATGACTTCTGTTAAAACAGTACAAAGTCTGCTTGTGTGTGTGGGAAGGGCTGCTGGTTAAAGGTGACTGATATCAGAAAGACTTGGGCCTCTTTGCATGTACACTGATGGCAGCATGAGATTCAGCACTTAGTGAAGTGGGCATTTGAGCAATAGGCAACTGAGGAATTTCACATAAGAACAAAACATACAGGCAAAAGGAAAATAAAGGTGACAGGCTAAGGTTTGTGCTGCCATTGGCAACAGGACAGAGAGGATAGTAGGCAAGGGACAAGTTGGGAACTATGGCATACAAGGCTTTGAGAGTCATGATAAGAAATTGTAATGAGCGCAGAGGGAATGCAGTGTTTACCCACTTAAACCGAAATCACAAAGCATAATTCTCATGTTTGGTGGCAGCAGCTTTCTGGCCACAGAGAGCAACAGACGACTTTCCCAGGCATTTTCCTGGGGAAGGCTGTGAGAAGATCAGAGAAAGGATGAGAAACAATTCTCATCTCCACTTGCTGCATCTGTTGGTGTGCACGTGTGGAATGTGTTACAGAGATTTGTTTACCCAAGGGTGATTTCTTAATTGGACATTGGATGATGTTTGGATTGATTGACTAATTATGTCAAAGCTGTATTGGACTGTCTGTAAGGGGATGTGGATAGGATAGGAATAGGATAGGATAATAAAGCGATTGATCAGCCTTCTGCAATCATGGAGTCAATGCTAATTATTACCCAGCTGGGGGCCTGTGGCTGCCAGGAAAAGTATTATGGCCCTAACCTGTACATTAAAAATGACAGGTAGCATCACTTCCCTCTTCCTTTTCTGCAGCCATGAGATATGGGAAATAGAGCAAGAAAGATAATGCTCGCTATTTCCCTAACAAAAAAACTTAAATGTTTTTATTTGTTTGGCAAGGGAAAGAACTTTTTTTGTCTCCCTTGAATTTCCCTGGACAGCCTATGATTACACAGAGCATTGAGTCGCACAGCTCTACTTTCTCCCACAGAAGCTGAGGAGATAACCTGCAGTGACAGGAGAGCACTGAGGTTTGGCCAGGTCAGCTACTGAATGATGGAGAGGCCCAAAACTATTTGCCCAGTGCATGAGGCAATGGATCAGAGCAGAGAGAGAGAAGCTGAGGGTCAGCAGATGTCACAGCACAGGAGGCTCCCCCAGTACTTACATCATACTTGTCACTTGCCCAGTCCAGCCAGTGCTCTCTCTTGGGGAACTCCTTGCTGCGATGACGAAACCTGTTTTTGATGGCAAACTGAGGAGAGACAGAATTATGTTTAATGGCACTACAAATACTTAAAACTGCAAACTGGTTTGTCATTAGAGATGATGCTCTTGGCTTCTTGTGTTTAGAGGGTGCTAAAGGTGACTCAACTTTTGTTACCCGCTCCAGTCATCTAGGGGAATGTTGTTTTTAAGGCCTCACACTGCATAACCAGCAGAGCGTGCACTTGGGGTCAGGTGAACCAAACAGCTCAGAGCTTGAGATTCTCTGAGGACTCAGAGCAGTCCCTCTCCATGTGGGTTGCTGTGAGGAGCTGGAAGATCTGCCTTCCTCAGACTTACTTATGTACAGCAGTAAAAAGAGTAGTGTCATATGCACAGGTTTTCAAGGCTGAATGGCTGTAGGAGAGAAGCTCCTATGACAAGCTCCATCTTGTAGGTATGTCTCACATCTTGACATGGAATATACATAAATACGGTCCCAAGGAACTCCTAAGATTTTCTGCATGGAATAACATTTACAGCCAAGCTGGGCCTTAGGAGCAGCACTCTAAGTAATGGCCAAAGTCACCTACAGAGACTTGGTTTTGACAGTGCTTACAAGATAGGCAATAGGCTGAGCTGTATAAAGATAACAGATCTATAGGCATGTATTGATTTGGCACAGCCTGACTTTTAGTAGTGGGGGCATGCCATAGCTTCCACCATGCCTGACAGAGCCAATCTGTGATGGCTCTGAAGATAGACACGCTGCTGGCCCAATTTGAGAGGTTGGTAATGTCTCTGTGATGACATATTTAAGAAGAAAGAACAGGTCACATGCAGTTTTTTCCCCACAAGTGGGGAAGCACCATGTTGGCACTGCCCACAGCAATGCAGCAGCTCGGTGTGGACCCTGCCTAACCACTCCTAACTAACTGCACTGCCAGCGGAAAAGGCATGAGTGGTGAAGCAGCTTTACCTTCCCAGCACCCCACATGAAGAGAGACATTAAATTGCCCCAGTGCTGCCATGGCTGCCAGTACACATCCAACAGTAGTGGGACCATACGGCAGATGGTCCCACAAGCAATTCCCCGAAGTGGAACCTAGATAAGATCAACTTCTCTGTGCTTCAGGATCCTGCAACAATCCTTGAATCACTGCAACTTGTTGACAATGGTACCTACAAGCAACAGTTTTTCTTCTAGTCAGAAAAGAGAAGGCAGTGAGGACATGAGGCAAAACAACATGGCAGCACCAGGGTCAGTGGAGAAGAAAGATGGGGAGGAAGTGCTTCAAGCATCAGAGCTGAGGTTCCTCTGCAAGCTGTGGTGAGGAGTACGGTAAAACAAATTGTCCTCTTGTAATGCATAAAGTCCACAATGGATGCAGAGATCCACTCGCAGCCCATGGGTAAAGTGCTTACACGGGAGCAGGTGAATGTTAGAGAAAGCTGTGGTTGAGTGGGAGATCTGAAAAGAGAGAGAGGGCCCCTGCTCCCAGAGATAAAAAGAGCCCTTGCTTCCAAACTAGAGCAGCCTATCCTTAAAAGACTGCACCCTGTGGATGAGTGACCCATGCCACAACCAATTTGGGATGACTGTTTGCCTGTGGGAGGGACCCCATGACAAAACAGAAAAGAGATTCCTCTCTCTGAGCAAACAGAAAAAGATCTCAAATAATAAAGTGACCAAGACTCCCACACTCTGTCTAACTGTGCTGTCAGTGAAAAGGAGGGAGGGGCTGGGGGGAAAAGAGGTGTTTTAAAAGCTTATTTTTGCTTCTTATTGTCCTCTTCTGACTCTGTTGATAGTAAATATATTTTACACCTTTAGATTTGAACTTGTTTTGCCCCTGGAGTGGTTTTTTTCCCCCCAGTCCTTGTCTCAACTCAAGAGCCCTTCTTTGATCTTTTTCCCTCTCCTTTGCCCAACTGTAGCAAAAAAAGCTAAGCAAACTACTGTTATGGGTGCCTGGCATTTGGCCAATGTCAAATCACAAAAATGGAAAACGAAGAAACTCTTACATGAATAAATTTAATCTCAAAGTTGAGGCTCTGCAAAGTTGGGATATGAGGTGCTATTCATGTAGATTCCACTCCTTTCCTTGAAGGATCACAATGATGTGCAACCCCCAGAACTTCCTTAATGCAGTGGGGATCAATAAACCTCTGGATTGTAAATAATACTCTTTTAATAAGTAATAAGTTTTTGCTGATAAGATGCACTAGTAGCTCTGCTCTTGACTCAGCTCAAGGCATGTTTGTCTCTTTCTGCATAAAGGGGCACAAATGTGGAAGGAATGATTCCCACAAGTTGGGATAAGATTTTACATAACAATGACACCTGATTTTGTTTCCTATGTGTATAAATCCGCATATAAATCAAGATTTGCATAAAAAGACACCCTAAATGTGGAGGTATCCGTATGAAGCTTTCTGTAATAAAGCAAAAACCTTCAGAAACTTTCCTCATATTAAGACAGACTTCTCATTTAGGCACATTTACAGAACAGCTTTAGGAATGGCTGCCAGGGGTTTGGGGAATGTAAGCAGTACTTACTCCAACACATTTGGAAACTTCAAGCATTACATTTCCTTGTGGTTTAACTTTCTTGTACATTCTGCTTCCAATTACAAACACAACTACAATATGCAAACAGAAAAGCAACTCAGGATTAAATTAAAATAATGGGGAGTAATTAGGTATGGAAACTGCAAGTCAAAGAGGTAATCAGGGTGGGAATAAGCCTCCCAAGAAGCAATGCAATTGCCTATTCACATGCTATCATACAGTAAGACCAATCAAATTAATAGCAGGAGATTGCTTCTATTCAGGACAAAAACCTAAATCTGGAAACTCCCACAGTAAGTGCTCAGTGGGAGGTTTGCTCTACTGAGGGAAGGTCCAAACGAGGGCATTTAGGACCTTGACTCTGGCCTTGCTGTAGGGGCTCCTTTTCAGGAGCTCACATCATGCAGGGACACACAAGGCTCTGCCTGAATGCAGGACTGGCCAAGGTGTCCTCTGCTCCCAGGCACGTTGCTCAGCCTCACCATCCCACACACAGGGCAGGCACAGGCAGAGCCCCACAGCCACCATCCAGCCTGGGCTGGGCTCACGGGCAAGGCGAGGGCACTGGCAGCCAGGTGGGCTCCCAGTCAGGACCATGAAGGACAAGGACCATCAGGGATACTGAAGCACCTAATGGCACCCCCAGTTTCTTGGGCAGCAGTAAGGCTTGGGGAGTGACCTGTGGCACAGCTGGTAAAAAGGCAGGTGTTTGAGAAGTACTGACATATCAAATACGGGATTTCTCCAGCTCAGGGACAATCACCTTACACAGATCATAATCCTGGACTAGAGACAATATCCAAAACACACATTTTCTGAGAGTTCTCACCCTGCATTCAAAAGATCGATTTGTACACACCAGTAATCCAAGAAACATAGCCAGTAGTTTACATGATGTACAGAATTCAAGCATATATTCATGCCTCAGCCCAGCCCCATCCAACTCTCCTGGTAAATCAGACTCTTCAGTAAAAGTGAGTACATCAGATTAATCCCACCCAGGAAAAAATTTAAGTCAAAAATCACAGAAATTCTCAGGTACTGGGAGAGGTCAATACCTGGGAATTTCTATCACACTGTCATTATTCTGAGATTATCATCTAATTACCAAGGCAACAGGATAGCAAGAGATTCACCTACCCAAGGCAACAGCCATGAGGATAGCAGGAACTCCAAAAGCGAGTGGGTAACATTCCTGTTTGGTATGAATGCCACACTCTGAAGCTGAAGTAAAAATAACATCAAATAAAAGTCCCAGTCAGCACTGCTGATGTTTTCCAAATGGTTTCTGGTCTTTGCATTCACTGAAAACTCTTGGGGGAACAACAAATCAGTCTACCAACACCCTCAGAGTGGAGGATCAGTATCCAACTTATCTCTCAATATTGGAAAGGGGATTTATGTATCACAGAACAGTTCAAGTGGCAAGGGACCTCAGGGCATCATCCAGGCCAAGTGCCCTGCTCAGCTAGGGCTACCTGGAAGCAATTGTCTAGGAATGTGTCCAGATGGCTTTTGAGTATTTCCACAGATGGAGACTCCACAACCTCTCTGGGCAGCTTGTGCCAATTGCTGATCACCCTGAGAGTGAAAAAGCGTTTCCTGATGTTCAGAGGGAACCTCCTCTATTTCAGCTTGTGCCCATTGCCTCTTGATCTGACAGTGGGTACCACTGAGGAAAGCCTGGCTCTGTCCTCTTCATTCCCCATCAGGGATTTTTATACTTGGTTAAAATGCCCCCTTTGCCTTCTCTTCTCCAGGCCCAACAGCCTAATGCCTCTCAGGATCTCCTCACAGGAAATTTACACCTAGTTTTACACTGAGACATGAAGAATTACACTAGAAGGGTCAAAAGCATGTCCTTAGTGAGAAAGGAACTAGATTACAAAAGTTTTGGGCCAAGTTCATAAGCAAAGATTTTAGTGATGTAAGTGTAGCTTGTTGAAACAAAATCACAATCACCAGCCCCCTCCCCTCCTTGGCATTAGTCACAGATTTGACTCTCACTGACTTCAGCAGTATAAAATAAAAGAAAAATCATTACATTCTTCACCATACTTCTTCTAAGAGGAGATTTAGATAATATGGTTGGGGAAAAAAATAGTAGCTTTCAGATAATTCATGTCTTGATTTAGTTGTATAAGTCTTCTGGTTAAACCTTTCCAGGCTGAAGCAGGTTATCACTTCCCTCAGCTCAATTTGTCATTTTTTTCCCAAGGAATTTTTCACCCTGTATCAGCAAGGAAGTAAACTACATGCTGTGCCATTTGCATCTCTATTTCCTTTTTTGGGAAAGGATAGAATTTGCATTAAGCAAACATCTAAAACTCTTCTACAGAGTCTTTTCCAGTCAAGAAATCCAAAGGCCAGAAGTTCAGCCCGGTGCTTTTGGGTTATTCCAGAATTCACATGCTGCTTCCTTGCTTTTAGGAAAAGCAGCCTTGTGAAACTGCTGGCAAGGGCATCCATACAGCACCATCTGTGCAAGCTTGCCACAGAAATCCATATGCACCTAGGTTAGCAAATTGCTGGGGTTTGTTTAAGATCATTCTATTCTTCACAAGCAAAAGAGAACATAACTTTCTTATTTAAAAAGATGAAAAATTATTTACTTTGTCACATGGATTAATATATTCCTACATGCAGAGATGCTTATGTACTTAGCATGGGCACATTTCCAGAGGAGAAGGCTCTCTCCCCCCTTCCTTTCCCAGGAAGCAATACAATTCTATCAAGTGTGATACTCCACAGGTATTGGAAGCTGTGACACATTTGTACCTTAGTGGAATTACAACGTGCAGTAGGCATACAAGCTGCTAGCTCCAGCATGTCTCTTCAGATCTAGCACTTCTGGCCCTAAAGGCAATGAAGGTTTTCAACTGGCTTGTTTTTGAGAGTATCTCATCTCTGAGAAGCTGGATGACACACTGAAGACTATTTGCTAGATAAGTCCAGTGTGTCAGAGAACAGAACCTGAACTTTAACTGGACTGGGCTGCAATCCAACACACCTTTTCTGGTGTTTAACAATCGTCAACAAACATGTGACCTTACCTCTGATAATTGGAGTGATTAAAGTAGATAAAAGACTTCCAGCATTAATGGACAAATAAAAGAGAGAGAAGAAGGTACTTCTTTGCCTTTCCTACAGTAAAAACAGGAAGATGTTTAGAAAGGCTTAGCCACAACCACATTGATATGCCTAGATCAAAAAATCAGTGCCATTCAAGACAATTCAAGACAAATAATTTACAAGCTCCTTCCTCAGCTCCTCAGGAAAACCCATGCATCTATTCAAACACGTATAATATGAGAGTACTATAATAGTCAAACATTAGTTAGAGAATCTCTATAACTGAAAATCTGTAAGACATTGTTACCTGATCATCTTCAAACTGATCTCCACCAAATGCTGACACACACGGTTTGATCCCACCAGTACCGAAGGCAATAAGGATCAAGCCAACCATGGACAGAGCACTGGAACAAAGGAGAAAAGGAAAAAATCCCCATCATTTTGCGTTAGTTCTTACAGCATACATAATAGACTGGTTGAACGACAGTTGAAATTCAAGTAACATAAACTTAAGTTGTCAAATCATTCACTTGCCTGGGACAAAAAATATGTACAAGGCAACTCACATGTTCACTGCGATAGCATCGGGAGAGCCATCCTGGTTGTGATCTGTCAGGTCATTTATGGAGCCCACGGACAGCACTGTCTGCCCAATGGCATAGACAATGGACAGGTAGAGAATGGTCCTGTTGTCAAGACAGGAGATAGATTTTCTTAGATGTGTTAACACACGAACACAAAGATAATTCCACAGCTAGTGCAGACTTTTTGCTTACTTTAAAGATTCCTGGTAATGAAAAAAACTAACAGATACAATGAGTTACGGACTGAACTTGTCAGAAGCCACTATAAAAATCAGGTCACATGCCACAGCCATGGTATTTCTATTCTTTTTATTATTATTATTCTATGTAGCCTTTATTTAATAAGGTAGCCTTTAATTATAAAGGCATGATAAAAAATGGATTCTATAGGTATCACTAGGTCACAGTATCTTAAGCGGTTGCCTTTTTAATGACCAACTCAAGAATGCTATTTTCATATTTTTATATGCTGAAGTTCAAATAGACTACTCTGCAAAACTAAAATCTGCAATTTACACTGATTTAAGGAGCATTAAGCATTCCCTATGTTATTTTAGATTTTAGTTGCAGGACTACAAAAAAAAAAAAAAAAATCTGCTTCAAACATGGCAATACCCGTGAACAACTCTAACACCACCTTCTTTGCTGTAAGTGTACCAACATTTTTACACTCAGATCTGAGTAAGAGCTGCACTCAAGAGTGCAGGCTGCAGGCTTTCAGCCTGACTACCTTGGCCAGGAGGAGCCTAGGGCAATAGTACTGCATAATTACCAAGTCTCCCACCCTGCCTTTTCTGTAAGTAAAAGCACTTTCCATTTTCACTTTGTTGGACCCTAAGTACACAGCTGAAGTTTAATCCATGTTCGCTTGTGTCCTTGGGTGGGCCTCCGTTCAATAGGCACAGACACAGGTCTCCAGGTTGGAGGAAAAGCAGGAGAAACACAATGCAATGATGTGAAATTATTGAAACCCCAGCATTCAGGAGTGGTCCCAAATCAAGTGCAAGGTAGGAGAATGAAGGACAATGCTCAAAGACCTAGAACAACTATTTGACATAGGCAAGAGATCCTCACAGCAAGCTTGGAGCAGCGCCCTGACACAAGAGGGAAATTGAGCAAGTTCCTCTCACTTTAAACAAGGTTTCTCTGACTTAAAATTGACCTCACCTGTAGTGTAGTAAAAACAAAATCTATAAAGTGGGGCAACATGGAGTCTGCTCTTTAGTGGTATTTAACAGACACAGTTTAATGGGGTGCGCTTTTTTATAGCGCTGCCACAGAGTTACTTTATTTACCTAGCAACCTGGGGAAAAGTCTCCAATTAAAGTTGAAACTGAGCTAATCAGAAGTGAAACTTCCGGGTTTTATTTGTGAGGTTTATAAACCCACTGCAAAGACTTACATAATTGACACTGCATTGATGGCACACAATTAAAAAAATAACTGTGGTTTCTGTACTATTTTCCCCGAGAAATTCACATCCAATGATCTGTGAGCTGTCCCGTCACACTTCTTGACAGGCATTGCACCAAGTACACAGAATATGGAAGATTGGAGCCTCTCCTTTAAGGGTCCTTAACAGTGCCTAGGTTATCTCCTCTTCCACTTGACATCATAGATATTTTTAAAATTCTTGTTTAAGCTTTCCTCATGACACCTTGCTGCATTTTTGGGTGTTAATACCTAATGGCATATCCTAAAGCATGTTTTCTCTTGTTTAAGCCATCCTAGCAAGCTCCTGTTAAAGGCCTGGGCCTTTCAGTTGCAGCACGGGCATATCCAAGTACTAAAGGAGAAGAGAAATGAGCTCTGGAAAGCAGCATCTTGATAAAACATGCAAAAGCCAAAATAAATTTAAAAAATAAACCATAGCATGTAGACAGGCAAGTGCACAATATATTTAGGCTGCAATCTGTAAGACATCCAGCTAGTTGCAGTGAGCTTGCACTGCTCAGAGCAGCTGCACAGAGCTCACAGGGCTGTGGTTGCAGCCCTGGGCTCCCAGGGGCTGTCCCTACAGCGGAAGAAGACAGTGCAGCTGACTGCACAGCACATCTCTAATCTCTGGGAGACCTTTGGCAAGGTCTTACACTCATGGCTCATAACCCTCCATAAAATCTTTACTGTGCTTTTTCTCAGGCAAAGTAAACACTTTTAGAATCAAAACATCAGGAAAGGAGAGAGAGATAAAGCTCTTGGAAATAAACTGGTCACATTACTAAGCACTGCAGTGGTACTATCCTGACCAGTATCTATTTTCACAGCTTGGTGAATACTCTCCTTAGTTTTGCTTACTTTTTGCCCAGGTGAGAGAAAAAACATGCAGCATGCTCAGAAAGGAAAATGTTACCACCCTTAACCAACTTGCGGATCTGGAACATTTGTTAACTCACAGTGCAGTTTCAAGTCTGAGCTGAATCAGTGAAAACCTCAAGCTTTGGTGAAATAAAACAAACTATCCTGGAGCAGGCAACACCAGCTCTGAAGCTGATGTTCACAGCTGCAGGTTTAGGTGATGATTTAAGTAATACCAGTTTCAGGTGAGCTTTCAAGATCTTTGGCTGCTTTCTGAGGAAGCACTCACTTAAACTTTCCCAGCCAAGAGTCTGCAATGATGGCTCCAAGGATCGGCGTCAAATAACACAGAGCAACAAATGTGTGGTAGATGGCAGTGGCAAAGTTTTCATCCCAGTGTAGGAAACGTGTGAAATACAAAGTAAGCACAGCTGTAGGAAGAACAACAAAACAACAGGTTACAAACCCAAGTCAGGCCTGGGCAACACTCAGCACAAGGAGACGATGGACATACCTTTCATGCCATAGTAGGAGAACCGTTCGCAGAACTCATTGATGACAATGAAGAAAATGCTCAAAGGGAAGCCAAAGCAGAGCACCTGGAGGCAAGAGAGAATGTGAACTCAGAGCTGTGCAACCCAGACTAACACTCATCACTGCAACCCACAGCTCAAGCAAGCTCAACATGGACTCAGTGGGAGTGGGAAGGAACTCAGGGTCTGTACACTGCACAGGCTTCTGTGGGATGACAGGAGTTTACCTGAACCAAGAGTCAGTTGTCACTTTCCTCTCTTGGTCCCCAGAGGTCTACACACCTCTCATTTTGCAAGAGACCTTCAGCAATGCTAGAAATGACCTACAAGTGTTGTACTATGCACATTTGAGGTCTCCAGCACCTAACCCTTACAGCAATCTTGACTGGTATCTAAAAATACACAAAACCCCAAAATGTTTCTGGAAAAACAAAAAATTAAAACCCAAGGCCAATCAAAAATGCACCAAGCCCCTGCAGTACACCTGTTAGAAGCTCAGGGCTATTTTTAAGCACCTGTAATTAAAACAAATACACATTTAAACTTTTCATTCAGACAAATCCCTGAGGAAAACTACTTATCCTTAAAAACTTTGCAGATCAAAAGGAAAAAACATACACAGAAATCATGCCTGACACAAGTAAATTGCAAGCCACTGTCTCCAGCAAAGTCTCAACAAACAACGCAACACTTGGAGACCTGGGTGCGACAACAGGCTTTTTTTGGGAATCCTACAAAAGAAATGAAAATAAGAGAGTGGCAGGGGCATTGTTGACTGAACTCAGTTGTGAGGATGCCTGAGCAGTGCTGACGTTTGTTGTTTGCAGAACCAAGTACATACTGCATATCCTACCCATGGTTTGATAAGCAGGCTTCACAGCAAGAACTCCATCTCAGCTGAAGCCAGTGCCAGGTGGGACTCCTCTAGCTTCAGAGAACAAAAATTTTGAGCCCTAAATAGAAACTTGTGACTCTTGATTTATCACATCCTCCATGGACTGAAAGAGATGTCTCCAAAGGAAGACTATTCACACGTATCCCAAAATTAGGTAAAATTCATTTGAGCTTGCCCATTTCCTTCAGCTGAAGGCAGCAGGAGGTTTGGACAACTACTCCCAGCTTGGATACAAGTGCTGGAGGGCTGGAGCTCACCCAGAAGAATGCCTTGTGCCCCATCCACACAGCATTCCCCTAAGCCATGCAAATGGTCACAGGGTGGAGAGTCACACACTGAAGCTTTGGTTCAGCACAGGTTAAGTTGGTTACTGAAACCCAGGCTGTGTGACTTGTAATTGGGAATAGCCCAGGTGGAGAGGAGGCAATGTCTGTTCCTGAAGCAGAACAAAGACCTCCCCATGTCTTTTCTTGCTTACAGAGGGAAAGACAAGCAGTCCTGGCCCAGGAACTGGTGGGATCCATGTCCATCTGAATTTCACAACACCTCACTAAAATCTTTTGACCACTTGGGGTTCTCACAAACCTCTCCAGTGTTTTGCCATCACCCTACACAAGGCCTTATTCTTTAGGATGGTGTTACATGCTGGTCTGGGGAGGTCACAATGCAGCAAGGCTAGGTTTTTGTTCCAAGCCACCACTGCTTCTGTGCCTGGTGCACTCCCATGCTGGCACAGCAGCCAGTGGTTGGTTTTAGTGGCTGCCCCCAAACTCGAGGGGGTCTGCATGTCACAGCTGGAGCTGAGCATTGACAGGGCCATGCAAGAGAAAGCTTCTGGGTCGTTCCCAGGTGACAGGCCTTCTGTTTTTCCAAGTTGCTACAGACAAGAGACAATACAATTAATCCTTGCTAATATATAATGCGTGCTTGTCCTTGTTTTGCACCGTACTGTCCTCTGTTACAATATTCATGTGCCCACACACACATCTACCAAAACCTTTTCTGTTGTTACCCTCATTGGTCAGGAAGCACCAGATCCACCACCAAAAGGTAACCTGAAGGTTTTATATGTTTTATAATGCCCTCTGTAACCTCACCCTGCCCTGGGGATGCCACCACCCCGCGGCAGAGCTCTGACTTTGTCTGCTGAGGGAAAGTCTGTGGAGTAAAACCTTGCAAGATAAGAAATACAAAGGCAGAGTCAGGGTTCCTGAGACACATGTGCTTAACAGTTCAAAGATTCAAGAGCAGCTGCAGTTCAAAGATTCAACTCAGCTGCAAGCAGGATGGGCTCCAGGGACCGATCTCCACCTTACCAACATCCGCTCAGTCAGCAATGGCTCCACAAACATTTTATCAGGGTGGTGAGCAAATTAATGCTTAGCTAGAATTTAATAAGTTACTAGGCTGCTTTTGCACATTTGCCAGTAAGTCTTTATTGTATACATTTAATGTATGTTTATAGGCTTATTTTTATTTTGGGCACTGCGAACATTACCAAAACAATGTAACCCAAAGAGAATCAGTAGAGCAACTTTTTATGTGGGAAAATAATACTTACCGACTTGCCGGTAGTTTTCCCACCTGTGGAAGGAAAAAACCAAAATACAAGTCAATTGCAACTAATAATTAATACCGCCTTGAAACCAATAGAAGATTCAAAAAAGGTTCAATTCTAAATAAAGAATGAAATGTAAACACAGTACTGGTTAGGGTGAGTAAATTTTCAGTTTATTAAAGGGAGACTTCTCAGTTATTAGGCAAAACTTCACTCAACAACCTTTGGTTCTTCAGAGTGTGCATAAACTCCCACACTGCCAGGAGAGCCTCAAAAGGACTGAGGAGGCAAAGCATCCCATGGCTGCTCATCACACATCATTCAAGGGGGTGGTGAACCAGCCACCCACAGATGATGAGTCCTGTAACAACTCACACTTGGGGGTGTTACCTTCAAGGCAAGTCAAGATTAAAGAATAGGCTCAAGATGCCCTGCCAGGGATGGAGGTCAAATCCTGAAAAGGGACTTACAGAGGACTGAATATAAAGCCCCAAGTGAGTGATCCCCTTTAGCAGGCACTCCCATAACCTGAACCCTTAACCTGGGAAGACCGGAAAGAGCAGAGGGGTCCCACTGAGGGCAGCAAGAGCACACAGCAGCTTGCAGCCCTGAAGTCACTTCCAGCTGCTCTTGGCAGGCCTCCTACCCCTGGCAGCACTCCAAGCAGAGTCCTGCAGGGCTTCCCCAGCTCAGGAGACAGGCTTGAAGGCTGAGCTTTCACTGTGTCAGATAAAGGCCCCATGCCCACATAGTGGATGCTAACATTTTATATAAAACCACATGAGCAAGCTCATTATCGTTAAGATAAGACCAAGTACAAGATGTGAACTTTGAAATCCTTGCTTGTTAAACAAGTAAGGTCATAATACATCTATAAGGCCATAATACATCTTATAATGCCTAAGAAAAGTATGTCTGTGAAAATCATTATTTAGTCCATAGTCCACAACACATGAAAACAGCTGACAGCAACACTGTAGGTTTCGACACAACATTAAATCAAGTAAATCTTCAGAAATCACTGAAAGAGATTATTCCAATTCTTTCCTACACTGCTGTAGATAAGTACCTTCACAACAGAGACAATTGTACTATGCAGGTGATTCAAGAATATATTTTCTTAGGGAGCAAGCAACATTCTGAAAGTGCTAACAGACCTAGTTCAGAGCACATGTGGCTACATGAGTTATTGAAGTTATTGGCAATGTCCCTTCCACAACCCACCAGACAAGATACACTGTAGATACCAAGGTGTCGGCAATAGCCCATCTTCATAGCAGCTCCTTGGTTATTTCCACTTGTTGGCCTTTCCAGCACATGTGCATCCCACTGCCAGTTTTTCATAACATGCACAGAGAAAAACAGTTTGGGCAGCTCCCTTCTGTCTTTTAGCCAAGCCTTGGGAAAAAATATTTAGGATCTGGTTGTTGCTTTGGTTTGGGGTTTCTTCTGCCTTCCTAATAGCAAAAGTATCACCTCTGCAAGAAACCTTACCCAGAGGAAATCAAAGAGGCAATTTTTTTTTCAGACAACATCATCTGACTTCAATGTTTAAGAGACACAACTATTTCTAAACATTTTGACTTCACCCCTCTATTCTCTATTCTTGTTTTGCAGAGAGGGTTGGAGATACTCCAGACAGCATTAAAGCCAACCTTTCAGCACAGGCACCTCAACTGAGGACTCCACTGTCAGGCAGCTTCAGGGTCTGACCTACAAAGCACAGAGCACCCACCATCTTGCATGATAAATCTGAAGCTTGCTAGTGGCATGTTGGAGCAGTCCCTCTTTGGGGCAACCTTCAGCCCCTCTTATTTTTTCCCCACAAAGAATGACCCACAGAACTGCTCATTTTCATGATACCAAAATACCAAAGAGCTCTACATTTTTCATGACAAAGCTCGAATCAGTTGTTCAATTTGTATTCCTTTAAGACATTTAGTTTTTTTTAAGACATGTAAAGTCAACAACCACTCAGTTCTTGGCTTCAGCACCATATCTAAATGATTACCAGCGTGCCATTCTCTGCATCCCAACCTTGCAGGTCAGGTGGGGCAGCCTTACAGCTCCAGCCCCCTCCCACCAGGGTGCTTCCTTCCCTGCAGTCACAGAGATGCAGTGGATGCTGCAGCCCTTGCAGCTCACAGTCTGTGGCACGAGATGGGAGCACACTGCCTTGCTCCACGCAGCCATCACAGCAACTCTGCCCGGATGAAATGCTTCCTGTCCATGGCCACAATAAATCTGTACACACCCACACTGTCACCTAGGATGTTTCTGCCTCCAGAGCAAGCCCACAGTCCTACACCTGACCTGGGGCACAGACAAGCCCAGTGCCTCTGCTCCCTGGAGCAGCCCTACAGCACCTGCACAAGGATGCTGCTCCCAGCAGGACATCCCCCTCCAGGAGTCCCTGCTTCACACCCTGCTACTCCAGAAAAACACTCACACAGAAACTATCCAAGCAAATCTATAAAGCAACAAGCCTGATATTAAATGGGCAGACACAGCTGCCTCCCATTTCTTTCACTCCAGAGAACTCTTTCCATTTTTCTGGTTGTCTGCCCAAGCCAGCAAGACCCCTGGCAGCACCATGGACACGTCCTGCCTGCTCATTACTACGGCTGCTTGTCCCCCAAGATTTGCTTGCTGAAGATGCAACGGCACTTTCTTGGGTTCATTTTCTTGTGGGGTGGAGGGTGGGCATTTCAGGTTCCTTTCCTGTGTGAGACAAGGTTTCTCCAGCCCAGGAGCTGCTTGCTGTGAGAGACACCCATGGACTCAGACACTGCGGGACCAACAGTCCAACAAAAGGCAATGGAGACATACATCACAAAAAAGTTGGGTTTGCACCTCTATTACTCAGTGTTCCAGTTTAGATTGGAAAAAATCTTCAGGATTAATTAGATAGATGGGTTCTGCCCTTATCTGAATCTTCCAGCTATTTATCTGTGTATTTAAAAACCACTAAGTCAACCCTAGGCAAACACTGCCAATGAAAAAGCATTCTATAACATCTGCAAGGAACACCACCTTTAGCTTGTGCTCAGATCTCAAGCTCCTCATGCCTTACAAGTGTAGTGTAGGATAAACCTTACCGGCTCAGCTCTCAGAGCTTACAGAGACCGAGGCACCAGCTCTCGGCTCTCACTCGGGTTTCAAGGCAGGCTCGTATACACCAGGATACAGCGTTTGCAGAGGGAGAGCTGCCCCGGAGGGAGAGCAGAGAGCCAGGAGTAGCCGAGGACCTCCTCAGACCGACACCGAGCAGCAGAGGCAGCCCTGAGCGGGCGAGACCCTTGGCCACGCTGTCAGCTCGGTCACGGCACGATGAGCCGGCTCGGAGGGAAGCGGCGGGAGGGATGCTCATCCCGGGCCGGCATCCCTCCCGCGGGCCGGGCACCGCCACCCGCTCCGGGCTGCCCCATCCCGCCCCGCCACACCTACCCATGTCGCCGGCGCGGTCCCGCCGCAGCGCTCGGGGCTGAAAGCCGGCAGGAAGGCAGGGAAAGAGGGAAGGAGGCTGCCGGGGGCGGCCGGGCTTTAAGGGCGGCGGCGGGGCCCCGCCTGGCCCCGGGTGCTGCGGGGCGGCGCCGCGCAGGTGTCGGGGCGGGAGCGGAGCGGGTCGCGCTGGCCGGGAGCCGTCCCGGCGCTCACCTGGCCCTGAGCCGCCGCCAGCGGCCCCGGCTGCCCCGGGAGCGCCCCGGGAGCCCCGGCGCTCCTCCCGCCGCCGCTCCCCTCACGGCTGCCAGACCAGGGCTCTCACCTGTGCCCGGGGCTCGCTTCGCCCTCCGGCCGCCAGCAGGCACCGAGACAGGGCCACCAGCTCAACCGAGCGCCCTGCACTGCTGCCAGCTCCACCTTGTCCCTCTGCTGCCAACGGCGTGAGGGAAAACTTAGCAAGAAAGTATGGGACATTCATGCAGTGTGGAGAGCAGCTTTCTGCCTCGTTCCCTCCTCTCGAGCCAAGGAAACAGATCTCCTAGACTGCTGCAGCTGCCACCGGTTTCTAATGTTCTCTGACCTGTGGCTCCAGTGGACAGATGCTTCTGAGAAGCTGCCTGGAGAAGATGTGGATGCATCCCTGGAAGTGTTCAAGGCCAGGCTCAATGGGGCTTTGAGCAACCTGGTCTAGTGGAAAGTGTCCCAGCCCAAAGCACGGCATGGGAACTAGAAGAACTTTAAGTTCTTCCAATCCAAACCATCCTGTGAGTCTGTGTTTCTATGACCACTTGGCTCATCTCTTGCTCAGTCCACAGCAGACATCTGTCCCATGTGCCATTTGTGCCACAAGCCATAGGGAAAGCTGGGAGAATGCACATCAGTACAGCATGATGTACGTTTCATGCACACACCTTACTGAGCCATGTACATGGAATAAATGGATGAGAAGTTTAGCAGGAGCAGGAGAGCCAGAGTGCAAGGCTGAGCAGAAGAACAGCTAGGGGAAGCTACATGTTACCTAGGCTTGAATGAACTCAGCATGCAGAAACAGTAAAACATTAACTGACATTATCAAAACAGAATTTTCTGAAAGAAGAATGAGCTCCTTCTTTGAGGCTTGAAGATACAGTGGTACACTCTAGTTTATGCAACCAATCTAATAGCATTCTCTATGGCATGCACTTAATAATTACCTGGCTGCTGAACAGGTTCATTTTGTCTTGGGTACAAATCAAACAAGCATTGCAATGCACTGCAATTTGGAATATCTACAGTCAGCACTTCAGCTGCTAAAGGCTGCTCTGATTTGTGGTCCAGAGCTACAGCTGATCCTGGATTTCTTCAATTGTATCTGTATGGGGGTAATTTGATCAAAGGAGCTCTAACCCCTTAGCAGTTACCTGTACCCTTGACTGTAGAAATTAGTGAATAAATTCTTAAGTTAAAAATGAGTAGGTGGTTATAGCTATATTTATAGCAAGTTCTCCAGTAAGAAACATAAATCTTGCTGTATAAGCTCCACTGACACAGCTGATGCTAGTCATGTATCACTTCTCAGTGGGATATACATATATGGCCACACAGCACAGGCAGTGTTGTGTTTCTCTATTATGGTTACTCCAGCAAAACAAGCAATCTGTAATGCAGCAAAGAATGCTGAAACCTCCAATGGCTCATTCATCTACAGAAATAATTGAGATATGACCACCATTTTCTGTCAAAGTATGGAATTACAGATGTCATTTCTTCCCTGAACAATGGGAAACTTCCCATTGCATGACCAGTGGTGGTAAAAGGTTCGTTCCCAGGCACATCTTATATAGACCCATGCATTTAGTGAAAACAAAGAGTAGGCCTTTGATGTTTCTTCCTAGAAAGCAACACACAACTGGAATTCAGGTGTTGAGGAAAACCGCCGTTCTCTCAAAAATTCGGGATAAATTAGCTAGTTTGATCACCCTGGCTTTCACTCAGTTTATCTTTCAATGTTTAAGGTCCCTGTTAAAGTATTCATCCTGCTGAGTACACACTTTAATTTGTCCCACAGGGAGAGATAAAAGGACACACAGTGGTTTCACAGCTGGTTCTGAGGTGGATTGGCTTCTGCTGTCCTTTAGTAAGCAGATGCCACAGGATTGATCACTGTGGAGCTATTTTATGGTTGTACTTGTTGTAGGGACAGAATTTATTCTCAGAGGATTAAAGTTTCCCCCTCAGGCTCTCTTTTAAGGAGTACTCAGTGCACAGCAGGGCTGTTAAATACTCAGCAAACAAAAATGCAGAAATGCATTTCTGCTT